AATAATTCCTAAATATATAGTTTACGGTGAAAACACATTCCACTCCTTGTACTGATTTAAGAACACGACATCAGTCACCTCCCAGTAAGGCGAAAATGTGTTAAATGGATTTTAAAGAACCGAAGAATTGTACCTTTACAATTGTATCCATCTCCTGTAGGCAGTTTTATCTCGAACTCGAGATAAAACAGCAGGCATTTTTTCTGGGATAATCTTGGATGGAAGGATATAATAAGGAGTCTAAGCAGCGATGTTTTTGAGCCCTGTACGTCAACCGGAAGTAAGCCATTTTCCAGTTTAAATTGCCTTGACGCTAACAAATTTGTATAGAGACGATTTGCGAAAAAAAATTGTTTAAAATTACGGCTCAAGAATGCAAAAGTCTACGTCCGGTTGATGTACGTCACTCAAAAACGTCACAGCATCAAAAAGTTTTTAATTGATCAAAGAAAATAGAAAAAAGATTTTGCAGCACCTACCCGAACAGTTGTGGCCATCTCCCATGTACCCTGGTTTGCAACTACAGTTAAATGAACCTTCGGTGTTAATACAGTTGGCATTGTCGCTACAATTGTGAGAGCTGATCTGGCATTCGTCTTCGTCTGAATCACAATGTTAGAATAAGTGAACTTTTGAAAATTATGCTCCAAAAAACAGGCTATAACAACCAGTACATTAATGTGTTTGTATTTTAAGGACATTCTCTTTCTCGCACTAGATCACACTATGGAAAGGTAATTTACATCTTCCGTTGTTTCTTTGTCATCTTCATCATTGTCATCATCAGCAGTATCAATATTATTATCATCATCCTTTATTATTAATTTATGATTATTGGTAACTAAATAAAAAGTTAGTTCAGAAACGAAATCCCAAGAGCCTCACGCAAACCCCAGCATAAAAAAGTGAGAAAATCTTTTTATTCGTTATCAGTTGACCGTTGGAAATTAAAGGGATGAGGATCGTACGTCGCACTATAAAAGTTTTTTCTCCAAAAAGTAACATTTGGGTGTTTTCCGTATGGATTCATGTTTCTTTTTAATTTTACCTTGACATGTTTTACCGTCACCCTTAAAACCCTCTTTACAAGAACAAAGGTAGGAGCCAAGCGTGTTCTTGCAGTTTGCGTTGATGTCACAAACTGGTGGTGTCTTCAAGCACTCATCATCATCTACAAATAGCATAAAACAGACGACATAAAAAATAAGAATTTTTTCTAAATTCAAATATGTAATGCATATCTCCGTGGACGACTTCTTTCTACAGGTTACTGACAGTACTAATATATGGCAGACCTCATTGTTATCGTAATTTGGCATGCACATGCACTCGACATTCCATCCCAATAGGATATAGAAGGGAACATCTCGGAGAATTGGAGAGAGCAGAGTTACGTTTTAGACTATGCTCACATTATTGCGGATAGCTTTTTCGCAGACAGGAAAACCATAATACCGGATAAGGCTTCTATTGACACATGAGAACGGTGATTTCAGTGCAATTTCTGTACCTGAGCGAAGCTGTGCCGCGCTTATCTTTAGAGTGGAAGCCTTTCGACCAAACGCTCCTCGGAACGATGTTCGATGTGTGGGATCGAGTTGTTAATGATCTGTGCCGTTCTGTGCCGTTAACGATCATATTATACCGGATGCATTTTGCAGCACAGTGTAAAAAACTTAGTCTTAAGCATCTTAAAAAGACAGAATACATCGTACCCTCTCGTCTCATATAGAACCTCAGCTCATCTGTCACAAAATCGTCAGGTCTCGTTTCCTTGGTCTGGCTGTTTAGCTCGCACACTTTATCCGGAATGTAGAAATTGTAACTCGCACACCTAGGGTCGTTTTCACAGGTGTTCTGGCACTCAACAATGGCCCTCGCTGCAAACTCTTTGAAGGTGTGACCCTTGAGAGCTTTACCAGGTACTGATCTCTTTGAAGTTTTGCATTGCCCACCAACAGCCCCACTTCCATGCATCTGGGATATAAGACAAATTGTGAAGAGTGCCAGGGACATCTCGGAGTCAGCGAATTCTGAAACTGTAATTAAACACCTTTTGTATAAAATTAATGTCAGCTTCGCCGCTACTCTTTGTTTGCAACA